TCTTTCCCCTTATAACTATTTGAAAATTTGAAACCATTTTTTCTGCTTTATCCCTTGTTTTCTTATTCTACAGTTCTGTATTCTTATGGCAGTGAAGACATTTGATCTGCAAACCGGCACATAGTCAATGTTGAAAATTTATGGAAAAGCACCGGTATTTATCTTTTCTTCTGGTTATCTTTCTTTCCCCTTTACCAACTAGAAAAACTATATTTAGAAACTAGCAGGTCCATGGTTGTTGTTGTTGTGGTATTCACAAAAAATTACAGCACACGACCAAGGTTGAATCCTTTGCATTTATCCCCTATAACTGGAACTAATCTTTCTATATCTCAACTACTGTTGTTTCCTCTGCTTTAACCGATGCTGAAATAGACTTACTGGATGTTCGATCTAATTCGTTTGCCATCGTCCTAGTTACACCTGAAAACCATGCTACTGAATATGACCACCTTTGTTACTAATCAGACGACATTTAAATTTGGAAATCAGGTAATATGATTCTTTTAATTGAGGGACTTATTAAATATTTTCCCCTATTTCCTCTTTCCTATCTCCCTCTTATTTACTCTGAACTTTTATTTCTTTGATTCTAGTGGACTTACAATATATATATTTTAGTTAATTCGTTGCCATCCATTCGGTGATGATCCTTTTAAAGCTATCCCTTCAACTGATGTTCTGGCTGCACAACAAATTTCTACTTACATTTCTACTTTTTCTTCAGCTTATCATCAAGATGGAGTCTCTACAATTATAAAGGTAGTATTTGTTTTGTTATTGTCGTGTTCGTTTATGGGATCTCAAACTAGGATAGAAGAAAACACATTTAGGTGCTGAGTTTGACCAATCGTTTGTTAAACCTAAATAGAAGGAAATAGTACTCTTAACTAGGAAAAAGTACAATGAAACAAAAAACGCTACTGCTTCAATTACAACAAAACGACCCCGAAGTCACACTAAACCACCCCTAAACACAAAACGGATAAAAAAACCGAGGTAGGATAGCACTACACTAAACTAAGCAAACACCACCAATAAACTACTCCCACCAAGCTTGGGTGTAGCAACACAACCCTGCAGATTACAAGCTAGAATTTGTGCAATTTTGTTTAAGCTTGAGGAGCGTGTATATTATGTTGATTGTGAAGTATGTGTCGTTGATGGTGGAGTCACACACGCAGATATAAGGCTATGAAGACATAAGGTAAGTGTAATAATTTCGTGTTATATGATTTGGGAATGTGATTTAAGTCATCTTATTAGGTTAAGTTTTGCATGTAGTATCTATATGATGCTTGTAAGTTGATTTGGTATGAAATCATATTTCTTGATTGTGAGTTGGGTTAACAAGTGCAAATATTGAATGTGATTGGTAAGTTGATGTTGGGGTCCTTTAAGTGCTATAATGGAGAAGAGTAAGATCACACACGCAAATATAAGGCTATGAAGCCATGAGGCAAGTGCAATAATTACGTCTTATATGATTTGTGAATGTGATTTAAGCCATATTTCTTGTAGGTTGATTTAATTCATAAGTGATGTTGTAACTTCGGGTATAAGTGGATTTTTAAGGTTATAAGGGTTAGTATCGAAACCAGTCATCAGTATCGATACAAATTACTTTGCATTTTTATATTGATATTGAGCTTTAAATTTTGCATTGTTGTTCCTAATTCATAACTTTGTCATACGATGTTTCATTCGGTCGTTTTTTTAATTCATATTTTGGGAAGGAAAATTGATTTATAGACTAATAAATATTAAAAATTAATGTTATGAATGATTCTCATAACTTTTATTAATTGCATTTTAGTTCAAAAACTTTTGAAAGATTAATAATTAATCCCTAATAATTATTTTAGGGTTAATAATGGGTTGCTAAAACTTCTTATGTTCAAGAATATCATGTTTGATATATATAAAGTCAACTATACGATTTGTTCTTATAAGTTTGGATCTTTGGTTAAATTCAAAGTAAGTCCCTAAATTTTTAAAAAAGTTGTCTTTTTGTCACTAATATTTGTTCTTATATGTTTTTGTGTATAATGAGTATGTAATTAAGGATTTATGCAATTTAGTTTAGGTTTGAAAAGCATGTTTATTGTGAAGTATGTTTTGTTGATTGAAGAGTTCTTTAAATGCTATGACGGCGAAGAATGATATCACACATGCAAATATAAGATTATGAAACCACAAGGTAAGTGTAATAATTTCGTTTATATGATTTGTAAATGTGATTTAAGTCATCTTATTAGGTTAAGTTTTGCATATACGATGTTTGTAGGTTGATTTGGTATGAAACCATATTTCTTGATTGTGTTTAGTTAACAAGTGCACGTTAAGTATAGTTTGATGTTAAATATTTCTAAACTGAATTGCTAAGCGAAGTAGTAAGTAACTTGGGGTATATCATAGTTTAAGAAAATGAATTTTTAAGGTTATCGAAACCCAATCATCAGGATCGATATCAGTGATTTTAAAATATTTTTTAGTACCAAAACCGTCATTTAATATAGAAATAGAGTGCCTGGTATCGAAACGAGACCCTTAGTATCGATATTGAGCTTTGAATTTCAAAATTTTGCATTTTAATCCTTAATTCATAATTCATAACTTGGGGTATATCATAGTTTAAGAAAATGAATTTTTAAGGTTATCGAAACCCAATCATCAGGATCGATATCAGTGATTTTAAAATATTTTTTAGTACCAAAACCGTCATTTAATATAGAAATAGAGTGTCTGGTATCGAAACGAGACCCTTAGTATCGATATTGAGCTTTGAATTTCAAAATTTTGCATTTTAATCCTTAATTCATAACTTTTTCATATGATGTCTGATTCAATCGTCATTTTTTTAAATTCATATTTTTTTTGAAGGAAAATTGATTTAGTGATTACCAAATATTAAAAATGAATGTTATGAATGATTTCCGTAATTTTAAATATTTACATTTTAGTCCCTGAACTTTTGAAAGATTGATAATAGATTACTAAAACTTCTTATGTTTAAGAATAGCATGTTTGATCTAAGTTAAATTTATGATTTATTCTTGTAAGTTGTGATTTCTAGTTAATTAAGAGCAGTTCCCTAAATTTCTTTTTGTTACTAATATTTTATGTCGATAAAGTGATTAAATTAGTCCTATATGGTGGCATATATGTTTTTGTATGATTAATTTGTAGTTAAGATTTATTTTTAATTTAGTTTAGGTTTGAGGAGCGTTTATATTGTGTTGATTGTGAAATATGTGTTGATAGTGGAGTTCTTTAAGTGATATGATCAGGGTTTCAAATCGCCGTCGCAGGCGCTATTACAGGTGTAACGGGTAATTAGGACGGTGCCGAAACCACTATTTCGTGGGTGCTATCACGTTTTCGGACCGTGATTTGAAACCCTAGCTATGATAGCGAAGGGTAAGATCACATATGCAATTATAAGGTTAATTTTAATTTTTGGTTAATTTAGAGTAGGTCCCTAAACTTTTAAAAAGTTAGTCTTTTCCACTAATAAGCATTATCCAAGAACTGGGGCAACTCATCATGCCCGACAAGCCCAAGTCTGTGCACATAGAACCCCTCTTGTGAACATTTGCGCATGTCTATAGACCCAAAAATTTAGTCGTGACAATTGGTGTTTTACATAGGGTTAATTACATTTTGGTATCTTAAGTTAGTTTTAAAGTTTAATTTAGCATCTAAGTTTTTTGTTATCTAATTAGATATTTGAATTTGACTTTTTTATTTGAATTTAAATATGAGATTGGTTTATTGATTCAAATTGGTTAGAAACTATAAGTACCTATTTGAATAAAAAAAAAGTAAAATTCAAGTACCTAATTGAACCAAACACCTAAGCTTTTTGTGTTCAATCAAATACTTGAACTTGAATTCAATACTCAATTTGGCCCCTAATTTTTTTTTAATCCAATTAGATACTTGAATTTGACTTATTAGTTTGAATTGGTTAAAAATCATAGGTATCTACTTGAATCAAAACACCAAATTCATGTACCTAATTGGACAGAAAAAGAACTTAAGTGCCAAATAAAACTTTTAAGCTAAATTTAGGTAACAAAAAATATATGTTTATCATTTTTCTACATTGTCAACAATCACATGACAACATATCAATAGAAAATAAGTCAAAAACTATTTATGGAGTATATATTGTACATGGATATGAATATTTCAACCCATCAATCCTCGATTTAATTGATTTAACTTATTGAATTGTGAGTTTAATCATGATTAAACTAATAAATAGTAAAAAATATTTATTGTAAGGTTCCTTTTAATTGGTTTATAACAATTTCTTTTATGTATAATCTAATTTTGAAAACAAACTATATATTATATATGATTTAGTACGTGAATGAAAGAAAATATTTAACGTAATGTTAACGGGATGATCAAAATTAAATGACACTAATAGTTAGAGCCAAATCATAATTCGAATCTTACACCGCCATTCACAACCTTTTAAACAATGTCAGGAGTACGAATGTTTACGAATGGAACAAATTGGATTGGAAAAATCACCCTTGCCTCTGCAGTACCTTATCTAAATTAGTCGGTCAATGATCGGATACCGGTGATTAATTCAAAAAAACTGATTTTGAACGTTAGAGCCAAATCATCTACAATGGCTTCGTCCACCATGTTTTCCCATCCCAATTAAATTCTTGACCTAAAATTCTACTTTGTCGGTCACTATCGTGACAAAAGGAAGATCATTTTGCATCCATTTTACGTGGGATTTATAATAAAATTCAGATCTTGATGTAGATCTCTAGAAAATATTATATATATTTACAAATATTTTAAGGGAAGTGTCGTGCCGTGTCAGAAGTAGAGATCTAGACCGTGATTGAGATGACGATCTTGGTTGTGTTGTGTTGTATTTATTATGATTGAGGATTAATCAGATACTATTGTAATGGTTGTAGGTATCATAATCTTGTAATAATAGTTTTGAACAATATCGTTATCGTTATATAACAGACGTTATTGTGGTAGCGAACCTCTATATGAATTCCGGCCAGAAGAGAAAGTGAAGACTCAAAAGAGATGGAAGAAGTTGACAAAGGAACAGTGTGTGTGACGGGAGGCACTGGGTTCATAGCCTCATGGCTGATCAAGAGGCTTCTTCACGAGGGCTACTCGGTCCATACCACTGTTAGGTCAGATCCAGGAAACAAAAGAGACCTTAGTTTCCTAACCACACTGCCGGGTGCAGCCGAAAGGCTCGAAATCTTCGGCGCTGATCTTAACGATGCAGCCATCGGGGGATGCAAGGGAGTCTTCCATCTCGCCACTCCTCTCGACTTCGATGTGCCAGAGGAGGTATTTATCGAGAGGGCGGTGAACGGAACGCTAGGCGTATTGAAGTCGTGCTTAAGATCGGGTACCGTGAGGAGACTCGTCTATACTTCTAGTCAAGCCGCCGTTGTATTCAACGGACGGGACGTGGAGACGATGGACGAGAGTTTCTGGACCGACGCCGGTTTCCTTCGAGGGATACAAAACCGGAACCAACGTTGTTACATCATGTCCAAGACTTTACCGGAAAAGGAAGCTCTCGAATGGGGAGCACGACACGGACTCGATGTGGTGACAGTGATTCCTAGTCTCGTTGTTGGTCCTTTCATATGCCCCAAACTCCCTGCCTAATTGCACACAACGTTGGCTCTCATCTTCGGGCTTCAGCATCAATATCCTTACATTCTAAATGCGTCGATGGTGCACGTCGACGACGTCGCGAGGGCACATATCTTCTTGCTCGAATATCCCGATGCGAAAGGGAGATACAATTGTTCTTCCCACACGACGAGTCTTCAAAAGATGTACGAATTTCTTCGTGCCAAGTACCCGGAGTTCCCGATGCCGACACCGGAGTGAGTGAACCCTCTTTCGCGAGTAATACGAATATCTTTTTTATAAGATAACGTGTCACGTTTTGAGTGGTTGACAGATTTTTTTTTTTTTTTGGCTTTTCGACAGATCCTTAGCAAAGATCAAAGGTGAGAAATGCCCCGGTCTGTCACCAAAGAAACTGCTGGATACAGGCTTCGAATTCAATTACGGGGTTGATGAAATGTTTGATGATGCTATTAAGTGCTGCAAGGAAAAAGGTTATCTCTGAGTTCAAACTATTGAAAGAAGCTTTGATGAGATGTGAAATATTATTATCAATGTTGTATCAGATCATATTAACAATCTTCAGGAAGTCGATCGGAGTTGCATCTTGTGGCTCGATAAGCAACCCAATGCGGTTATAGGGTTAAAAAAAAGTTTTAGACCAACAATCAGTTGGTCTAGTGAGATGAGGCACTAGGTCCCTTAAGCAAGGTCAGGAGTTTGAATCTTGGAGTTTGCGAATGGAGCAAACTATGTTAGGAGAGTCGTTCTCACCTTTGTAATACCTGATCTGAATTAGTCGGATACTAGTGATTAATTAAAAAAAGTAGGAGGTTAATTATTGGAGAAAATAACCTCGTTGACAAAAAATGTTTTATAATATACGATTTTAACCAACTTTTTTTGGATTTGTCAAAATGACCAACTAAATCGTAATGCGATCGATAATTCGCAACGCGATCTCCGGTATCGCAAATCAGTTTCCAGATTCGCAACGCGAACTTCGACTATCGCAATGCGAACTTGGACTATCGCAATGCGAATATGTAAATCGCAATGCGATAGTCGACTATCGCAATGCGAACTTGGACTATCGCAATGCGAATATGTAAATCGACTATCGCATTACGAATATGTAAATCGCAATGGGATAGTCGAAGTTCGCGTTGCGATAGTACAAGTTCGCATTGCGATAGTCGACTATCGCATTGCGATTTACATATTCGCATTACGATAGTTCAAGTTCGCGTTTCGATTTATTCCAAATTCGTTGCGATAGTCAAAAATCGCAACGACTGGTGGTATTGCATTTGTTTCTTAAGAATTTTCTCTAAAAAGATAGTATTCGCGCGGACGTGTCGAAGACACGTATTACCACGACCACGACCACGACCCGAGACGAGACGGACGGCAGCGGCGGCGGCGGCGCGCGAGAGTTCCCCTTGTTCTCTATCACTCAACAAGGAAATGGGAAAGTCAAGCCTTAAATATCATTCCCAATAGTGTTTCCAATATTATGTGGGATTGAGCATTACCAACACTTGTTTCCAATACAATAACACTTGTTTCCAATACAATGTGATTATTCAGGAAACAATTAACAATCATGTACCTTAAAACAACTGAATCAGCAACCAATTGCATGAGTATTATACGATTAAATATGTCATAATTAAAAGTCAATCTACAATCAATCGCGATTATTGCAATTTTAAGCAAAACATTCAAAAATAATATCATTATTTAAGGCTCAATCCCACATAGTATTGGGAACAAGTGTTGGTAATGCTCAATCCCACATAGTATTGGAAACACTATTGAGATTGGTATTTAAGGCTTGGTTTTCCCAATTCCTTGTTGAGTGATAGAGAACAAGGGGGACTCTCGCGCGCTGCCGTCTCGTCTCGTCTCGGGTCGGGTCGGGTCGTGGTCGTGGTCATACGTGTCTTCGACACGTCCGCGCGAATACTATCTTTTTAGAAAAAATTCTTAAGAAACAAATGCAATACCACAAGTCGTTGCGATTTTGGACTATCGCAACGCGAACTTCGACTATCGCAATGCGAATATGTAAATCGCAATGCGAACTTCGACTATCGCAATACGAACTTCGACTATCGCATTGCGATTTCGAAGTTCGCATTGCGATAGTCGAAGTTCGCGTTGCGAATCTGGAAACTGATTTGCGATACCGGAGATCGCGTTGTGAATTATCGATCGCATTGCGATTTAGTTGGTCATTTTGGCAAATCCAAAAAAAATTAGTTAAAATCGTTTATTATAAGACATTTTTGATCACTGAGGTTATTTTCTCTAATTATTGTTGGTTTTATACTAATATAGGCACTAGTTGGTTAAATTTTCCTAGAAACTAATTCCATATTATTTGAGAAAAAATGTAAATTGTAAATTTAGTTAATTACTTATAAATGTTGTGTAGGGTCGGGTTAGGTCAAGACTTGATGTAAAAAGATATTAATATGATTTGGTCTGTTTAAATAATTAATTTTATAAATATATAATTATTTCGATTTTAATGGGCCAAGCGAGGTGTCATTTGTACGCACGACAGAAGACAATTAATATGTCAGGGTCGGTGTTCCATTTTTATTACAGAGTTTGAAAGAGGATTGACACGCGTTGTACTGGATAAGTCTCATATATATATATATATATATATACAATGATTCGAACTTGAGATATTATTTAAACGATAATAAATTATTTACCATGAGTCAATTCCTGTTGAAGGAAGTGAAGACATGGACTATTATACATCGTATAACACTAATAAAAGGGTTTTGGTTAAAATATTGAAGGAAGTGAAGACGGCCGATAACATAGGTACCGGGTATGGAAACTTATCTCCGATGTCAAAATCTTTCGAGTTGTTGCCGTGCGACCGACATGGAAGATCCGTTCATCAAACTCGTCATTAAACAAACACGAAAGAACCTTCGAGCCAACGCCTTGGAACTCAACACCGCTGGCGCCGAGTAGTTCGACGGACCTATATTATCTCAAATACGCACCAAGTGCCCTAATGTCTATGCCATTGGACCCATCACTGCACAGTTGAACACTAGACTCAATGCACAACGTGGAGAATCATACGATCCCTTTCTAAATACACTTTGGGAAGTTGATAAGAAATGCATTTCTTGGCTCGACCAGCAACCGAATCGATCCGTTGTCTATGTGAGTTTCAGTTGCATTACGACCGCGTCAAGGGAGCAACTAGAAGAGCTTGGAGCGGACTTCTTAATAGTAAAACAAAGCTCTTTTGTGTTTGTCGAAATGATTTTTAGGAGTTGGAAAACCACGTCATTTTTAATTATTTTCTTTATGTTTGATTTTAAATTAAAAACAATGTGACTTTAGAAAACCTCTCGTTTCAAGAATTTGGGAATTCATTCACGATAAAAACACAGGTTCGAAGAGTCGCCACCAATCCTTGATTAGGGTGTGATTGGACACCCAAAAATGTTTTGTCATTTTAAATAAAAGTTAATTTTAATTAAAACAACAATTTAAAGTCTGCGTTACCAGAAAATGAGTTCGGGAGTCGGTTACGCGTGGGGAAGGATTAGCACCCCCACAACGCCCTAAATCGGTACCTCATCGATTAATTAATGTCTTTGCAATGAAATTTACAAATTCGAGTTTAATTTAGTTTATGATCCTCAACAAAATAACAACACATGTATTTTACAATATTTAAAATCACCAAAATAGATTAAATTAAAATTACCTAACCTTTAGAAAGATAAAGAATATTCGATTATTTAAAAATATCGAGACCAGATCTTAAATAGTTATAACAACCTTTTCTCGATAAATTTAAATAGCCGAACATTTCTTTATCTTCCGTTCCCAAATTTTAAAGTGATAAATCAATTTTTAGGTGTCACTAATGGGATACACTTCTAATTTAAAATCGTTAAAAGCGGATATCTAATCAGTTAAGACAACCCACTTAAAACAATTTCAAATTAAAAGGATATTACCCTTAATCAAATTATGTAATAATGCCGAGATATGCACATGAGGATATCATGCAAATTATGCAAAAAGGATGTCATGTAAAAATTAATTAAACATGAGATTAAAATAAATGAGTAAATAAATCTAAAGCTAAAATCACTATTAAACAAAGATAAAAAAAACAAATCAATACATTACATATATTAAAATCAAAATAAACCCGAGACTGCCTATAAAACTAAAATATGTCTGAAAATGAACATAGAAAATGTAAAAACAAAAGAAAACTCACAATAACTGGGTTCTGGTACTAAAATGCCAATTAATCAAAATTACATACTAAATGCAAAAATAAACAAAAATTTAACTTGACTAGAACTGGGATCAAAATAAAAAATTTGGTAATAAATGACATAAACAACCATTTAAAAATAATATAATTATAAATAAATAAAAGATAAACACACATATTATGTAATATTTGAAGAAATTTTGAAGGAATCAAAACACCCTTACACACAGTACGTGTTACATACATGAATAACTACAACGGTCTTAAATATAAGAAAAGAAAACTACAGACCGCAAAGACAAAATAATTGAAACTCAAAAGGTGTAATAAATATGTGATTAAATTAAAAACACCATAACTAAGAGACCCAAGTACGAACACAACAACAACATAGTTAAAAGCATAAATATCATAAAACATATATACTGCCTATAGAATATACACAAAATTTAAATAAACTAGCTTTGAGGATAAAAAATAATGCGTATAGAATTAAAGGGAACCAATCTAAAATTTTAAAAGCCTTGATTTGATGATCGAATTGCATTAAACGTGAAACAATGTGTAGCTCTACACAGACAAACCCAAGTGCGGTGACTAAACGATAATTTACCCTAAAAATATATAAAACCTAAATAACCTAAACTTAAGCATCCCAACTTTACGCAGAACATGTGCACAGCTGTCTCCTTTCTTTCCACACTCCATTTTTCTCTTAACCACGCACAGTGCCGCTCTCAACCTCACTCACTGGTATTCACACTCGATCAAAACCTCAACTACCTTAGAATGCTATGAACCAACGCTGCTACATACTCTAACAATCTTCAAAAGCCAAGGTAAACAATCCTAAATTTCTATTCCCATTTCTGGTTTTGAAACTATATTAGGAAAATGCCTTTAAAAATGAAAAATGGACTTCTCTTTGATTTTATTTCTTGTGTGAATCGGATGAGTAAGAAAATTGATTATATTGCTTTATTTTTATTTCTAATATCTAGTTCATTATGCTTGCTAAGGGTACTATGGGCTCTGTCGATTCTCTCTCGGGTTTCCCTCACCGATCGACTAAACTAGCAAGGCTCCCTATTCTCACCGACAAAGACTATATGTAAAGGTAAAAAATTTGCCCTCCTTTTTTTTACATTCGTTTCAAAACAAGGACACGCACACTGTAAAGTAAAAAAACTGAAATAAGAAAATACCGTTTTAAATCTGTATTATATTAAAAAATGGGAAAACCCCTGGTTTACAACGATGACGGACTCGACTATTGGGAACAACAGCTCTTGTGGATACTCCCCATATTTCCTTCAAAGAAAAACCGAGCAACCCTTGTTTTTTGGAATTCCCCTTTTTAATCGTCACCCTCCCTCTGTTCTTTTTTTTTCCCCTCTCTTTTATGGTTGCTTCCGATCCATCTTTTTCCTTCTTGGTTGGATTAGTGTTGAAGCAGGTACGTTTAATCCCATAATTTTCGGGATTTATTTCCATTTCAAAGGTTTAGGTAAAGGTTTGTCAAATCTCTTTGACCTTGGTGACTGATTTGTTT